AGAGAGAGAGAGAGAGAGAGAGAGAGAGAGAGAGAGAGAGAGAGAGAGAGAGAGAGAGGAAAGGGGGGGAATTCACACGACTCGTGAACCTGAGCCCGCATCTTGCCAGGCAACAGAAACTGCCCTGCACAGCCTTCTGACACAATGGTGCTGCCACTCAAGGACAGCCCATTCGATAGTGTGGCATTGACGCCTCCAACTGACGATAGCCACAAACTGACAGACTAGCCCGAGAGCAATACTGTCACTCAAGGACAGGCTGTTCAATAGTGCGGCATCAACTCCTCCCGCTGACAATGGCAATGAAATCAGGAGAACTCACAAAAACTGAAATCTATTATGTGTAGCTCATATAGCACCGAATCCACCCATAACATTCGGAATGAAACCCAAGCATGTCAACAATCCCCAGTGTTGCCATTGAACTTCAGTGTTCGAACTAATTCAGCCGGAATCAAGACTAAGGGCCCAGGGCGCACGAGAGCATTGAACTTGGCGTGCAGCAAGTTCTCGCCTCCCAACAAGGTATATTGTATTGATGAACTGTTAAAGCCTGTTCCAGACTCAACGCAACACTATTGACCGACATTCAGAGATGAACCAATCAATGCCGGCTGCACGTCAGACTTATCTCTTCCCCGTTGTAGCTCCAATGCCAACTGAGACATGCCCGGTGATGGTCCGAGCTAGTACAAAGTCCAAAGATCACCAACATGAAGAGAAATGTAATGTGACACAGTAGAAGACTCAAATCAGATAGCATATGACCTGACCATGCTGCAAAATCCCATCTCACACCAGCCAGGGAGGGGTCCAAACGTAGAGAACCCCTCTGCAATCATAAACAGACAGAGTACAAGGTGGGAAATGGAAGAGGGAAGCATGACGAAAAAGAAAAAGAAGAAGACCGAAAGTATGGCAACGGCTAAAAATAACAGTCTCTCCTCCACCTCGATTTCCCTTGCTTCCAGTACACCTCCAACAATGAATCTCAGATCTCCAGTCAGGGAGTGTGGCTCCCAAAGTAGTAATTTCAACTCTCTCTCTCTCTCTCTCTCTCTCTCTCTCTCTCTCTCTCTCTCTCTCTCTCTCTCTCTCTCTCTCTATCTATCTATCTATCTATCTATCTATCTATCTTTCTATCTATCTATCTATCTANTCTCTCTATCTATCTATCTATCTATCTATCTATCTATCTTTCTATCTATCTATCTATCTATCTATCTATCTATCTCTCACGAGCGTGCGCGCATACACACACACACACACACACATATGGAGATGATTCTGACTGGTGGAAAGGCAGACCCTGATCCAATGCAGATGTCTTGAAGAAGAAGGCCAGCTACAACTGGTGGCAGACCTCCAAGGTATGATGCCAAGTGAGCGGCCTCTGCCACCATCACCACCAGTCTTCCGTATCTGAACACAGCACTGCTCTATCTCTTCTAGCCCTAATCTTCTTCTCGACCTCCTCTTCTGCGATCTGCTCTACCCCACGGTCTGGTGGCACAAGAATGAGGTGAAGTTGGTCTGCCTACCACTGAGCCGGACTCTCCTATATACGACTGGCCAGTCAGCTCGGCCTTTCATCTGACCCAACCAACCAGCCAAGGACCCAGCTGTCCAACTGAGCGGCCATGTGACTAAACTCTGGCCCATGCCTGAAAATGTGTGACCTAGGTCCCATGTGACTAAACTCTGGCCATATGACTGGCATAGAAAGGAGACAGCCACAAGCAGACGAGCTGGGCCAAACCGTGGGATTGGATACACCAAAGGTCTGAACAGTATGAACCCCTCCCTCTTCAGCAGGCACAGAGAGAGAGAGAGGGAGGGAGGAGAGGGGTCGCGGGGGGGGGGGGGGGGGGGGGGGGGGGAAGAGAGAGAGAGAGAGAGAGAGAGAGAGAGAGCTGTTAAACCACCACTACCTTTCTCAGTGTTGGGAACAACAGGAATATATGTCACACGGCCTTTTTTGGGGGTATGGACGAGGCTTGGCAATAGGAAAATGTTTGAGACTTGTGGGCCCGCAAATACAAAGGGAAAAAAAAAACAGAAAAAGAACAGAATGTAACTACTGGATTGACGTCGGGGACGCACTTGCACGACGTTCAGCTCACCAACCGTAAGTTGGACGAGGCTTGGCAATAGGGAAATGTTTGAGACTTGTGGGCCCGCAAATACAAAGGGAAATAAAAAAAAAACAGAAAACGAACAGAATGTAACTACCGGATTGACGGGGACGCACTTGCACAACGTTCAGCTCACACTAACACCACCCGTAAGGTATCTAACAGCTATCATGTCTACATTCAGTTTCTAAGTTTTTGTTTTCTTTTTGCCTGTCTCATTTCGTTTTGGCACCCTGCCAGCGGGAAAGGGCACATTCCACGGGTTGCTGACAGTTTCCACGGACAACACTAGTACTATTGGAAGTGTACGAGCCCACTTTCCAGTCCAAAGGGGAGTTTCAATTTTTTTTGTTTTCCTTTAATTTGTGGACCTGACAGTGGCCCAGGTTGCTGACAGTTTTCACGGACGACACTACTACTATTGAAAGTGTATGAGCCCACTTTCCAGTCCAAAGGGGAGTTTAATTTTTTTTTTGTTTTCCCTTACTTTGTGGACCTAACAGTGGCCGCTGTGAAACAGTTTTCACCTTTGGCAGTAGCCGACGCAGATCCCAGGGGTCGATCCCTTGACCTCAGCTTACCTGTGTACAGTATCTGTACAGTTCCCTGGAGTTGAACCCGTGACCTGCACGATAGCCA